ACAATTGCCAGCCCAGATTACTATACCCAGCAAAACTCTCAATCACTATAGATGGTGAAACCAAGATATTCCATGACAAAACCAAATTTGCACAATATCTTCCCACAAACCCAGCACTTCAAAGGATAATTGATGGAAAATGCCAACACAAGGAGGGAAACTACAACCTAGGAAAAGCAAGTAAGTAATCTTCCAACAACCCCCAAAAAAGATACAAACATAACTTTACCTCTAATAACAAAAATAACAGGAAGCAACAATCATTTTTCCTTAATATCTCTTAACATCAATGGTCTCAATTCCCCAATAAAAAGACGCAGACTATCAGACTGGATACACAAACAAGACCCAGAATTTTGCTGCATACAAGAAACGCACCTCAGTGACAAAGACAGACACTACCTCAGAATAAAAGGGTGGAAAACAATTTTTCAAGCCAATGGTCCCAAGAAACAAGCTGGAGTAGCCATTCTAATATCAAATAAAATCGACTTTCATCCAAAATTAATCAAAAAAGATAAGGAAGGACACTTCATACTCATCAAAGGAAAAATCTACCAAGGTGAACTCTCAATTCTGAACATCTATGCTCCAAATGCAAGGGCACCTACATACATAAAAGAAACTTTACTAAAGCTCAAAACACACATTACACCTCACACAATAATAGTGGGGGATTTCAACACCCCACTGTCAGCAATGGACAGATCATGGAAACAGAAACTAAACAGAGACACTTTGAAATTAACAGAAGTTATGAACCAAATGGACTTAACAGACATCTATAGAACATTTCATCCTAAAACAAAAGAATATACCTTTTTCTCAGCACCTCATGGTACCTTCTCCAAAATAGACCATATAATTGGTCACAAAACAAGCCTCTACAGATACAAAAAGATTGAAATAATCCCTTGCATCTTATCAGATCACCACGGACTAAGACTGGTCTTTAATAATGACAAAAACAATGGAAAACCCACGTACACATGGAAACTGAACAACTCTCTACTCAATGATGACTTGGTCAAGGAAGAAATAAAGAAAGAAATAAAAGACTTTTTAGAATTCAATGAAAATGAGGACACATCATACCAAAACTTGTGGGACTCCATGAAGGCAGTGCTAAGAGGAAAGCTCATAGCTCTAAGTGCCTACAAAAAGAAACTGGAAAGAGCACACACTAACAAGTTGACTGCACAACTAAAAGCTCTAGAACAAAAAAGAAGCAAATACACCCAGGAGGAGTAGAAGGCAGGAAATAATCAAACTCAGGGCTGAAATCAACCAAATAGAAACAGAAAGAACAATACAAAATATCAATAAAACCAGGAGTTGGTTCTTTGAGAAAATCAACAAGATAGATAAACCCTTAGCCAGATTAACCAGAGGGCACAGAGACAGTATCCAAATTAATAAAATCAGAACTGAAAAGGGAGACATAACAACAGAAACTGAAGAAATTCAAAAAATCATCAGATCCTACTACAAAGGCCTATACTCAACAAAACTGGAAAACCTGGATGAAATGGACAATTTCCTAGACAGATACCAGGTACCGAAGTTAAACCAGGAGCAGATAAACCATCTAAATAGTCCCATAACCCCTCAGGAAATAGCAGCAGTCATCAAAAGCCTCCCCACTAAAAAAAGCCCAGGACCAGATGGTTTTAGTGCTGAATTCTATCAGACCTTCAAGGAAGACCTAATACCAATTCTCTTCAAACTATTCCACAAAATAGAGACAGAAGGAACACTACCCAATTCGTTCTATGAAGCTACAATTACACTCATACCCAAACCCCACAAGGACCCGACAAAGAAAGAGAACTTCAGACCAATCTCCCTTATGAACATCGATGCAAAAATACTCAATAAAATTCTAGCAAACCGAATCCAAGACCACATCAAAACAATCATCCATCATGATCAAGTAGGTTTTATCCCAGGAATGCAGGGATGGTTCAATATTCGGAAATCCATCAATGTAATCCACTATATAAACAAACTTAAAGAAAAAAACCACATGATCATCTCACTAGATGCTGAGAAAGCATTTGACAAAATTCAACATCCCTTCATGATAAAAGTCTTGGAAAGATCAGGAATTCAAGGCCCCTACCTAAACATAGTAAAAGCAATTTACAGCAAACCAGTAGCCAACATCAAGCTAAATGGAGAGAAACTTGAAGCAATCCCACTAAGATCAGGGACTAGACAGGTTGCCCACTCTCCCCCTACCTATTCAATATAGTACTGGAAGTCTTAGCCAGAGCAATTAGACAGCAAAAAGAAGTCAAAGGGATACAAATAGGAAAGGAAGAAGTCAAAATATCGCTATTTGCAGATGATATGATAGTATACTTAAGTGACCCCCAAACTTCCACCAGAGAACTCCTAAACCTGATAAACAACTTCAGCAAAGTGGCTGGTTATAAAATCAACTCAAACAAATCAGTAGCCTTCCTCTACATGAAAGATAAACAGACTGAAAAAGAAATTAGGGAAATGACACCCTTCACAATAGTTGCAAATAATATAAAATACCTTGGTGTGAATCTAACCAAGCAAGTGAAAGACCTGTAATGACAAGAACTTCAAGTCTCTGAAGAAATAAATTGAAGAAGATCTCAGAAGATGGAAAGATCTCCCATGCTCATGGATTGGCAGGATTAATATAATAAAAATGGCCATCTTGCCAAAAGCAATCTACAGATTCAATGCAATCCCCATTAAAATCCCAACTCAATTCTTCACAGAGTTAGAAAAGGAAATTCTCAAATTCATATGGAATAACAAAAAACCCAGGATAGCAAAAACTATTCTCAACAATAAAAGAACTTCTGGAGGAATTACCATCCCTGACCTCAAGCTGTACTACAGAGCAATAGTGATAAAAACTACCTGGTATTGGTACAGAGACAGGCAGGAAGATCAATGGAATAGAATTGAAGACCCAGAAATGAACCCACACTCCTATGGTCACTTGATCTTTGACAAAGGAGCTAAAACTGTCCAGTGGAAAAAGGACAGCATTTTCAACAAATGGTGCTGGTTCAACTGGAAGACAACATGTAGAAGAATGAAAATTGATCCATTCTTATCCCCTTGTACAAAGCTCAAGTCTATGTGGATAAAGGACCTCCACATAAAACCAGATACACTGAAACTAATAGAAGAGAAGGTGGGGAAAAGCCTCAAATACTTGGGCACAGGGGAAAAGTTCCTGAACAGAACTCCAATGGCATATGCTCTAAGATCAAGAATTGACAAATGGGACTTCATAAAATTGCAAAGTTTCTGTAAGGCAAAGGACACTGTCAATAGGACAAAACGACAACCAACAAATTGGGAAAAGATCTTTACCAATCCTTCATCTGATAGAGGGCTAATATCCAATATATACAAAGAACTCAAGAAATTAGACTCCAGACAACCAAATTACCCTATTAAAAAATGGGGTATAGAGCTTAACAAAGAATTTTCAACGGAAGAAACTCGAATGGCCGAGAAGCATCTAAAGAAATGTTCAGCATCCTTAGTCGTCAGGGAAATGCAAATCAAAACAACCCTGAGATTCCATCTCACACCAGTCAGAATGGCTAAGATTAAAAACTCAGGTGATAGTAGATGCTGGTGAGGGTGTGGAGAAAGAGGAACACTCCTCCATTGTTGGTGGGACTGCAAGATGGTGCAACCACTTTGGAAATCAGTCTGGCGGTTCCTCAGAAAATTGGACATAGCATTACCCGAGGATCCAGCTATACCACTCCTAGGCATATACCCAGAAGATGCTCGAACATATAACAAGGACATATGCTCAACTATGTTCATAGCAGCCTTATTTATAATAGCTAGGAGCTGGAAAGAACCCAGATGTCCTTCAACTGAGGAATGGATTCAAAAAATGTGGTATATTTACACAATGGAGTATTACTCAGCTATTAAAAACAATGAATTCGAGAGGTTCCTAGGTAAATGGATGGAACTAGAAATTATCATCCTGAGTGAGGTAAGCCAATCACAAAAGAACACACATGGTATTCACTCACTGATTATTGGATATTAGCCTAGAACCTTGAAATGCCCAAGATGCAACTCACAGGCCACATGAAGCCCATAAAGAAGGAAGACCAAGTGAGGGTGATTCGGTCCTTCTTAGAAGGAGCAACAAAATACTCAAGGGAGCAAATATGGAGACAAAGTGAGGGACAGAAACTGAAGGAGGGGCCGTCTCAAGACCACCCCACCTGAGTATCTATCCCATGTGCAATCACCAAAGGTAGATGCTGATGTGGAAGACAGGAAGTGCATGCTGATAAGAGCCTGATATGGATATCTCCTCAGAGGCCTTCAAGAGTCAGACATATTCAGAGGCAGATGCTCACAACTAGCCATTGAACTGATCATGGGGTTCTCAATAGAGGAGTTAGAGTGAAGACTGAAGGAGCTGAAAGGGTTTGTGGCACCATGAGGAGAGCAACAATACCAACCAACCACAGCTCCCAGGGTCTAAACCACCAGCCTGGGAGCACTTAGGGGGGGGGGATCCAGGGCTTCAGCTGAATATGTAAAAGTGGAGGGCCCTGCTGGGCATAGGTGGAAGAAAAGAACCTTGACCTCATGAAGGCTGGATGCCCCAGGGGGTGGGAATTTTGAGGGTGGGGAGGTGGGAGTGGGGGGGTGTAGATAGAGGTTACATCCACAGAGAAGAAGGAGGAGGGGCGAGGGATTGGGGGTTCCGAGGGGGTGGTGGGGGATGGGGTAAGGGGACAACATAGGAAATGTAAATAAATCATCCAATAAAAAAAAAAAAGGAAAAAAAAATGATTGCTTAAAAAAAAAAAAAAAGAAAACGTACTACATTTACACGAGTTAGTAATACCCCACTGTTAAGAACAATGACATTATGGAATTTTCGGGTAAATAAATGGAACTAGAAGAGATCACCTTGAGTGAGGTGTGCCAGACCTTGAAAAACAAACATAATGTGTACTTACTCCTAAGTGGATATTATCCATGAAGCTCAGGATAACCGTGCTAAAAACCACAGATCCAAAGAAGCTAAGTAACAAAAAGGGTCCAAGGGAGGCAGGAGGCTGCCAGAAGCCTATGGAGAAGAGAAAATAGATTAAATATCAGGTGTGGATGGAGGGAGGGGACTGGATGAGGGATGGTTTGGAGATGGGAACAGAAAGGATGAGGTTGGGGGAGGACAGAGAGGGAGGATACAGGGTGGAGCACACCTCTGGGGTGAGCTGGAAACCTAGTGCACTGGAAACTCTCAGGAATCTATGTGGGTTCTGTTCATTCTTTCTACCTGCCCTGAGCTCTGGGGACAGTATGAACAATGGAGCTTCCACTTAGTCCCCAATACCTCTGACAATCCTATCTAAGACTCCTAACAACTGGAGATATGAAGCTTGGACCAGCATCTCCTGTTGTAAGACTCTAGCGAGCAGAGCCTTAGTTTACCAGAGACCCCCTGAGTGAACCACACGGAGACGAGAATCACTGCAAAAACCAATAGGAATTTTTAATGTTTCAGCATGCTGAGGCCATCTTGCATCCCAAAAAGAGAGGTAACTCCCTGCAGCTTGTTCAGTGGACATTTATACAGTCTCTAAGTGTAGCAGCCATTAGGCACAATGTGATTGGCAGAACAGTGTGACTTTTTAAACTGATTGGTCTTTAGGGAATGAGGCAGCAAGGACCTCCATTGTCTGTGCATGGCCAATGGTCCGTTGTCCATGTGCTCTGGGCCCCCCCCCCCACCTGCAAGTCAGACCCCCCCTGTGGTCTGAGGAATGTTAATTAGCCTCTGCCTTCTGGAGGGGAAGAGTGCCTAAGCAGTCTACGACCTTTCTCTTCCAGGAGGGTAGGGTTCTGGTGGAATTTTCCTCTTCATTCCCCACCTTTTCTTTGTGCATGCTTTAACCTTGAAGCTATTAGATAAAAGTAACTAAGTGGATTTTAAATGCAAGGGCCAAAAGTCAGAGGCAGGAACAAAATTATCATTGGTTTTAACAATGTAGAAATCAAGGTGGTCACAGACATCTAATGGTTTCTCTGGCCTTGCAGAATGGCAGGTGATCTTGAGCTTGAGGGGGTTCCTCAGGTGTCTGGCTGCTCTCCAGTCGGCATCAGGTGCAGGTGCTGGTCTGAGTTATGTGAAGTCAGGCAGTTACTCCATCGACTTCAATGGAGGTCGGGATGGTCACCAGCACCAGGAGCAGCCTCTTTTACTTTGTTTACTCGTGTGGAACCTCTGGGGGACCTGCATTATACGGATCACTAAGTGTAGGCCACAGTTCCTGGTGTCTGATCTGGAAAGCTTACAATCAAGCCATAAGATCCTTATCAGCCTGAACAGTCATTTTCGGGGGTTGGAGGAAGTCAAGAGCCGGGGTCAATGGAGTGGGGGGTCCCACACAGGAAGAGTGTTCTGGGCTCAGAACAAGGCCAGGACAAGGGGCACCACCCATCCACTGCCAGTTTCCGAGGGCAATTTAGTTAATGTCTCTTTTTAGGGTTCTGTTCATTCTCTCTACATGCCCTGAGCTCTGGGGACAGTACGAACAATAGAGCTTCCAATTGGTCCCTAATATCTCTGACAATCCCTGACTTACCTTAGAAACAAAAGCAAGACTGTTATCAGATTCAATTACCTCGGGCACTCAAACCCACGGAAAGATTTCTTCTAATATCTTCTTGGTTATCACAGTAGCTGTTTCTTCCTTGGTGAGGAAAGCCCAAACCCATCTAGAGATAGTATCTACAAATACTAGAGGGTATCCATATTTTTCTGGCTTAACTTCTGCAAAACTGGTCTCTCAATATACTCTAGGCTGTTCTTCCCTAGGTATTTTTCCTTGTTTACTCTTGTCTGCATAAGCATTCACTTGCTGGCATACCTTACACTGTTCTACTATCTCTCTGGCCCAAAACCTGAGGTCCATTAAGTATCTTAGATCCCTTGACTGCTTGGATGAGCTTATCTCTCAAATGAGTCCATCTGTGCGTTTGGCCTAGTAAATCTTTTGCTTGCTTTCTGGGAAGTATAGCTTTCCCTTCTCATGCGTGCCATTGTCCTTTCTTCTCTAGGAGATAGTTGGTAGGCTAGCAATATGAGTCCTTTCTTCTTTTATATGTTTTAAGTGAGGCCATCTCTTAATCTAGTCCCATTCCCCAGTGGGTGTCTCTTGCTGGCCTATAACCAGGATAGGCTCCTGCATAGCCACTTCTCACTTGATATGCCTGGTTATTCTCTCTGGCCACTGAGTCTCTTCCCTTCTGGTGTGTTGGGCAAGAGAATAGTACTCACAATTGTTGGCTTCATCAGGGCATCCAAGAGACCCAAGATTTTCTCTGATGTGAGCAGTCCTCTCTCTTGGTGTATAGCCCTGTGGATGTGGGCTGTGGCAAAAGTATACCTGCTATCCACGTAGATGTTGATTTTCTTGCCAGCCCTAAGTTCCAAGGCCCCTTTCTGCACCAATGTGCAGGAAGGGGGTAAGAGGTTCAACCCAGGTGACATTTGTGCCATCTGCCATATCAGCACCAGCTTGTCTCTGACCAGCATGGAGAAAACTTCTCCCATCTGTAAAGCAGGTTGCCTCAGCTCCCAGCAGGGGTTGGTCTGAGAGGTCCTTCCTCCACCCATGGGTTCTCTTTTTGGGCGAGTTAGTTGTGGCCTGTTGGGCAGGAAGTGTATCTGGGCCCCATCCTGGAGAGTAAGTCTCATCACAAGAGATAGTAGGGACAGTCTGGGATGACCATAAATGAATGGGATACTCGGCCCATCCCTGGGTCCACAGTTCTTTGGGTAGTCCATGAATATATTTTGGTGCCAGTGGCTCCATGAAACCAAGATACTTTCTTGGAAACTGGGCCATCGGCTTTGAGGAGGACTGAGTGTTGAGCCCCTGTGTCCACTAAGAGTTAAGTGGGCTTCCCCTTCACTTTCATGGTTACCCTGGGCTCAGGGAGGGGTTCAAACCCTGTCTACCTCAATCACTGTCTTCACCCAGGGCTAACACCTTTGTCATTTGGGGGTGCTTTTCTCAAGACCTGAGATTTCCTGCCCACAGCTTCTGTTTGTTAGGGCACTCTCGGGCCCAGCGGCTCCTCTACTTGCAATGTGTGCACTGGTCTTTCTTTGACTGGAATCTCCCTTCTCCACTTTCCCTAACTACTGTAGCCGAGATTCTCTGTAAATTTCTTTCCTGTAGCCTTTCTTTTTCTCATCTCTCTTTTTTCTTTTTCTTTCTCTGCTCTTTTTCTTTCTCTGTCTCCCTATTATGGTAGACTTCCTCAGCAACCTACACTAAATCTTTTAATGACTTATCCTGCAGTCCCTCTAGCCTCTGAAGCTTTTTTCTGATATCCACTAGCCTGGTCTATAAAGGCACAGTGTGTACTGACAGAATGCCTCCGTGAGCCACTGTGGGCAACTCATCTGATCCCTGCCCCCTTGAGACCTGCCAATGGAGTCTGGCGGTAGGATTATAAATACCCCTTTCCTTCTGCCACACTAAAGTCTCAGTCAGATCTAGTCAGAAGAAAAACATGTCTGAGGGGACATTTTTTTCTGGCTTCCTGCATTATCTTCTCTCACTCTTTCGGTCCTGAAGAACACTAAGACAGTCTCAAAGAGACCCCAGGTGACTCTAAGAGACAGCATGTATTTCACCAGCTCCCAGACTCTAGGCTCCTGACACGAGGCCAAAGACCTCCATAAATCTGTGCCATTCAGTCACAAAGGACAATGCCCACTAGCCCCTCCACAGGTAGAGGCTGTGACTACAGGCCACAGAGCCTCAAGACAGAGCTCCATATTAATGAGGTACCTAAAAACCAGAGGGGCCAATTAAATATTCCTTTCCAGTTCCTCCTCCTTGCAAAAGGTATTTAACCTCAGCCCCACCCTAAAAATAGGGGGTATAGTTTTCAACTATTTTTTGACATGACAATAAATATCTTAAGACCATGAACTGCTTCTCTTCTTCGAAAACCACTGTGGGGAATAGTGGAGCAGGCCTCAATCCACAGAGCCACTGCCTAATCTCCTGCTGACGACCTGTCTATGTTCCCAGACACAGAGACCACCAACCCAACCACCCAGCCAAGGGAGCTGCTGCTGCGACCAAGAGCTCACTCCCAGTGGGATACAGCCAGAGCTTTTCCCCTTCCTCCCTTCTGCTGTGGGCAAATCCAGTCCTTACACCCCCACTTCATTCTTGGCCATTCCTTGGGCCCCAGCAGTACCTGGAGGCCCAAGGGCCTGAGAACCAGCCAGTTCCCCCCACCCCCCGCTTTTTGTCCTGGGACCCCGAAGCCAAGAGCTCCGGCTCCCAGTGGGACCTCAGACTGTGCTCCCTCAGCCCCAGAGCCTCAACCCCAGAGTCCCATGGCTTCACATAGCCTGATGTCCACCTGGCACCAGCGTGGAGTGAGCACAGTCAAATTCCCACGCCTCTGTCCACATGAGATGCCCTAGACACATGGCAAGACAGATGTGGGACACAGACGACAGGTATCACACACACTACAACCCAACAGGGAGACTAAGATCAAAGGTTTGAAATCTCAAGGTCAACCTGGGTAGCTTAGCAAGACTCTGTGTAAATATAAAATGTGTAACAAAGGCATAGGGCTACAGCTCTGTGGTAGGGTACTTGCATGGCATGTTTGAGATCAGAGGGGGGCCTGCGAGATTAGAGGGGGGCAGGCATCACTAAATTAGTTTCTACAATGTACATTCAGTGGTTTATGAATAAAGGGGCAGTAGAGCTCAGAAATGATGCAATGGATGGGTCCAGGCCCAAAGGATGGGCTACTATGCACTGGTGGGTGAGCTCGAGTCTATTCCAAGTGTCTGCCCTTCTTCTGTTCACTTGCACAATCCTGATAATCCTACTCCTTCTTGTGGATATCTCAAGGTTACTATCCAGTCTGCTTAAGGTCTATCTTTGTGAGATTTACACTTCCACTCTACACTCTCTTCACTGATGGAGTGGTTTCTTCATTCGTCCACCTATTGCTCAGTTGTGTACTAGGTGCTCCAAGCAGGGTAGTGAACATTGTGAATTTATTCTTCTGTCTTCGAGGGACTCCCAAACCCAATCCAGTCAAATATGCAGACACCAAACAAATAAAGGAGGGTGTGGTGAACGCAACAGACACAGGGAAATTGTGAGTGAAGAAGCTGCTGGACAAGGTTCATGGACATCCAGAGATGGTGTTAGAGAAGGCATGGAATCTGTGTTCTTGGTACTTAAGGTTTCTGTACCTATATCACGCCAGGTTTCCGAATTTATTTGTGGGATTGTCTTTTTGTTTGTTTTGAGACAGGGCTTTACGTTGGCATCCTAGCTGGCTTGGAACTCACTGTGTAGATCAGGTTGGCCTTCAAGTTGCATTGATCCTCCTGTCTTTACTTCCAAAATGTTGGGATTCCTGGCAAGTCTCACATCCTGCCCTCATGCTGTATTATTAAGATCTACAGGGTTGTTACTTTTAATGTTGCCATGAAAAGGAAAGAAAAACCCTAACACTGCTGGTTTTAGGAAGGAAATCACCATTTTTGCTGATGGTTTTCGAGGATAAAGTCTATCATGGTGGTGAAAGAATTGTGCTAGGTGCCTTCTCTGTGATAGCCTAGTGTGAGGGCATTTCAGCATTTTTGCTATAATTTCAGTGGACCAGGAATCACAGAGAGGGCCAGAAACAAGATGGTAGTGGGCATGCTCTAAAACAATCCCCCGCCTCCATCAGAGATCCATTCCCATTAGTTAGGCCCTGCCTCCCCAAGCCTTCATAACCACCCAAAGCAATGGTACCAGATGGAGATTAAATACTCAGACACAGGACCTGGCTTCTGGTACACTGAGGTCACACCAGCTTCATGTTTGTTTGTTTGTTTGTTTGTTTCTTAATGGAAATGAAACAATTAGAAACTTACTCAAATGCTACTTTACCTTCTGGTTTTGGCCCAAAATTCTGGTATCTGACGTTGTCTTTCCGAGTCTTTGTGTTGTTTATTATTGTTGTTATCTTCTTTTCTTTTTCTTCTTCTGTTCTTTTTCTTCATCATCATCATCATCATCATCATCACCATCACCATCATCATCATCACCATCATCATCATCACCATCATCATCACCATCATCATCATCATCATCATCACCTCTCTTACCTAGATGCACTCACGAGTACTAGAAGCAGGTCAGTGTTATCTCACTTCCTCCTATTTTTTTCAGAAGAGAAAGTGATGTTTATTGTGGAATCACAGAGAAGAAATTGTTTGTAAACATGGAGATGACCATAGCAGCTGCAAAAACGAGAATGACCCTGGGACTCATCTGTTTCTGAGGTATACCCCTCTTTTCTTCATTTTTTAAGTACTTAGTTAGTTAGTTAGTTAGTTAGCTATTTTATTTATTGACATTCCAGCTCCCCCTTCACAAGCCCCCTATTTGCTTCCCCCTCACCCTGCCACTATGAGGGTGCTCCTCCAACCGCCCACCGACTCCTCTGCCTCATTCCCCTACCCTGCGTCATTGAGCCTCCACAAGATCAAGGGTCTCCCCTCCCAGTGATGCCCGATAAGGCCATCCTCTTCGATATGTCCAGCTGGAGCCACGGGTACCCACTGTGTACTCTTTGGTTGGTGGATTAGTCCCTGGGAGCTCTGGCGGATCTGGTTGGTTGATATTGTTGTTCTTCCTATGGGGTTTCAAGCCCGATCAGCTCCTTCAGTCCTTCCCCTAACTCCTCCATTGGGATCCCCATGCTCAGTCCAATGATTGGTCAGGCTCTGGCAGAGGCTCTCAGGGGACAACTATACCATGCTCTGGTCAGCAAGTGCTTCTTGGCATCAGCAATAGTGTCTGGGATTGGTGGCTGCATATGGGATGGATCCCTAGGTGGGCCAGTCTCTGAAAGGTCTTTCCTTCGGTCTCTGCTCCAGTCTTTGTCCCTGCATTTCCTTTTGACAGAAGCAATTCTGGATTAATATTTTATTTTTGAGGTGGGTGGGTGACCCCATCCCTCAACTGGGGGCCATGCCTATCCACTGGATATGGACTCTACAGGTTCTCTCTCCTCTTTGTTGGGTATGTCAGCTAATGTGCTTCCTGTTGGGTCCTGGGAACCTCTTGGGTCTGTGGCATCTGGAACTTCTAGTGGCTCCCATCAGTTCCCCACCCCCACTGCTACTCTCTTCCTTTCAAATCCCTGAACCTTTGTACTGCTCCCCCATCTCCACCCTTCCTCCTCCTCTCTCCCTCCCAGATCCCCCTCTCCCTCTACTTCCCAAGATTATTTTCTTCTCCCTTCCGAGTAGGACTGTAGCATCCACACTTTGCTGTGTTCTTTCATCTTCAGTTTCATATGGTGAGAGAGTTAGTTGTATCATAGGTATTCCGAGCCTTTTTTTTTGGCTAATATCCACTTATTAGTGAGTACATACCATGTGTGACTTTTTGTGACTGGGTTACCTCACTCAGCATGATATTTTCAAGTTCCGTCCATTTGCCTGTGAATTTCATGAAGGCATTGTTTTTAATAACTGAGTAGTACTCCATTATGTAAATGTACCACATTTTCTGTATCCTTTCCTCTGTTGAGAGACATCTGGGTTTTTTCCAGCTTCTGGCTATTATAAATAAAGCTGCTATGAACATAGTGGGGCATGTGTTCTTGTTATATGTTGGAGCATCTTCTGGGTATATGCTCAGGAGTGGTATAGCTGAGTCCTCAGGTAATATTATGCCCAATTTTCTGAGGAACCACTAGATTGTATTCCAAAGTGGTATTATCAGTTTGTAGTCCCACCAGCAATGGAGGAATGTTCCTCTTTCTCCACAGCCTCCCCAGCATCTGCGGTAACCTGAGTTTTTTATATTAGCCATTCTGATTGGTGTGTGGTGAAATCTCAGGGTCGATTTGATTTGCATATCACTGATGACTAAAGATGTTGAACATGTCTTTAGGTGTTTCTCGGCCATTTGAGATTCCTCAGTTGAGAATTCTCTGTTTATCTCTGTACCCCATTTTTAATAGGGCTTTTTGATTTTCTGGAGTCTAACTTCTTGAGTTCTTTGTATATTTTGGATGTTAGCCCTCTATCGGATATAGGGTTGGTTAAGATCTTTTCCCAATCTATTGGTTGCTGTTTTGTCCTATTGACAGTGTCCTTTGCCTTACAGAAGCTTTGCAATTTTTTGAGGTCCCATTTGTCGATTCTTGATCTTAGAGCATAAGCCATTGGTGTTCTGCTCAGGAAAAATTCCCCTGTGCCCATGTGTTCAAGGCTTTTTCCCACTTTCTCTCCTATTAGATTCAGTGTATCTGGTTTTATGTGGAGGTTTGATCCACAATCCACATGGACTTGAGCTTTGTACAAGGAGATAAGAATGGATCCATTTGCATTCTTCTACATGCTGACCTCCAGTTGAACCAGCACCATTTCACATGGAGGGACCCATGGCTCTAGCTGTATATGTAGTAGAGGATATCCTTGTCAGGCATTGGTAGGCGAGGAGGTCCTTGATGCTGTGAAGGCTGGGTGCCCCATTGTGGGGGAATTTGAGGGAAGAAAGGGGGTAGTAGGTAGATGGTCCGAGCATAGCCTCATAGAAGCACCAGGAGTGGGGACAGGATTAGAGGTTTCTGGGGTGAGAATGGGGTAAGGGGATAACATCTGAAATGTAAATAAATGAAATACCCAGTAAAAAAAAAACACAAAATACCAAACAACAACACAAAAACAAACAAACAAACAATACAAAACAAAACTAGTTAGTGAATGGTCTGATCCATGACACCACAGTGGTTGAAGATCAGGCTTCAACTGCCTTTTGGGACATTTTTTAATTAATTATTTTATCTTACTTTTTTACTTAGTCACTTTACATCCCACTCACTGCCCCCCTTCCCAGT